CCTTCCTTCACAACAGAGGACTTTGTTGTGTCTTTTATCTGGACGACAGCATTCAGGCATATCAACAGACCAATCCTCTCAGGCGGACTTCACACTAAAATTGTTAACAAGGATGGTTTACTGCTTGTTCTTTACAGAAAGAAAGAGCTGTGTGAGGTCTTGCTGAAGAAGAAGTTGTTCCAACTAGCTGAGTGGCTAACCCTATGACACAGCTCCCATGTGTCCACGGAAGGGGTGATGCCATGTGTCATCACATTACTGCTGTCAACCAAAGAGGAAAGATCTACTGTTTGAATCTCAGCACTATATCACTAACTCCTTTGTGTGTTTTCAAACTTTAGTGTTTCTTTGTGAAGTGCTATTGAGCATACAGTTTGTGTCTTCATATATTTCATATGATTTACGCCATAGCAATAATGTTTAATGCACGGTGGTGTTGTTCACCACAGTAATATTGGGCGTGTTGTTGTTGCAAGTACCCTGTTGAATAGTGTTTCATGTCATGCATTCTGTATTCTTGTATTGCTTGCATTTTCAGGGTTCTAGACTTTGGCATATGAATATATTTACATGTTGAGTTAATTCCAGCAACGTTTGGTATCATCATGTCAATAATCATATTTTGTTTTATTATTATGTTAACATGAGTTCAACAGTATTAACCAGAAGGCAATCTTCTTTCAGTTTCTTAGTGGATAAGTGTAATACTAAACATCCGGTTATGTATTTATATTATTATAAGTATCTGTAGTAAGTGAAACTGTCAGTAAGACATCCATATATCATGTGTAATGCTATTTATAGTAACATAGGTAAGGCAACTTCCCATCATGCCTAGGTACAAGCATTCACTGCAGTGCTTCAATGTCAACTATCTTATACATGTTTTGTAAACAATGACAAGAAATTTTGCTCCCGTACGTATGAGCAAATAGTAAAAACAAAGCGTCAAGTTTCATTCTGGCAAGATTTCAGTATGCCTCCTCAACCACGAAAGAGGCAAACCAGAATGCCAAGCAGGTTATCCAGGCCGGATAATACACACAGTGGAGAAGCGAGTATGTGTGAGGACCCGGACGTTTCGGTGCCACCAAACATGGCCGCACCAGATGTCAGTGTGACTCGTCGACGATACGGTCCAGTGATCCCTCTAATTACAGTTTATAGTCGCCCGTATGCAGTCTTTCCACGCAGTTGGACTACAGAACGAATCTGTACATATATTTGAGGAAGTGTTGGGCATTAAGCCACCAGTGGGGTTGACACGAGCGCAGTATCAAACGTTTTACACAGACAACATCACAGGCATAGTGGAAGGATGGACATACACCGGTCATGATCGTTGTACGCGATGACAGCTAGAACTGGCACCTCGGTAGTTTAGAGGCTACTGTACCCCCTACTACAACAGTGAACAGGTCACACAGTGATGCAACACTTGCCCAGGTTGTGGATACTGTGAATAATTTACAGCGTACTGTGGCCATGCTGAGTTCGCGAATGGATGACAGGAGACAGCCTGCTATGGTGCCACACACTTCCCTTTTGCAGAGGAATTGTGCTGTGCCTGGTCAACCACATGACTATTTGCTACCTACTGATACGAGGTCACAGCCATTCAGCTTGTATACTGCCTTATGGTAATTGGACAACCAAGTCACAGGTTTAGCTACCCCAGGTGTGTCCTCCAGTGAACCTCAGCATTTACCGGATAAAGTACTTGTTTCTCCCTCTCAACATCAGTGGCACATAGAAGGAGGGGCGCTCATACTGGCTCTCTCTCACCAGAGACACACACTCCAGCGTGCTCGATCACCATATCCGCGGACAAGCAGGGAACGACCCAGTCCCACTCGCTACTACAACAAACATTCCGGTTCTTCCACTAAGTCGATCCATTTGAACTCCAGTTTCGGGTCCAACACATCCCAGGTTGCCGCAACATCCTTGCGGGCGCCCTCTCAAAACCAGACAAGGTAGCTCTCACCGAGTGGAAACTTCATCTCGACATCATCACCTCAGGGAACCCCAACATCAACCTGTTTGCCACTAGCCAGAACTACCAGGTCCGCACCTTCATATCACTGGTACCAGATGCACAAGCCTTCAACATCTCCTTCGAAGCATTAAAAATCTACGTTTCTCCGCCTCCAGTACTCCTTCCCAGGGTCCTTCAGAACATGAGATTGACCCAGAACCTTGTTCTGACTTTGATCGTGCCTTGGTGGCCAAGGAGAGGCTGGTTCATGGATCTCAAGGAGATGTCCATCGCCGATCCTCTCAAACTCCCAAACTGGCCAAATCTGTTGATCCACCCTCACAGCAAATGGCTTCCATCAGGCTCAAGACAGGTTACATCTTCATGCCTTGTCCATCTACAAGTAGCCTTAAGTGCCAAGGGCTACCCGGCTGGAGCGGCAAGGGCAATTACCCTGGCCCATAAACTGTCTACTAGGGGTTTGTACGATGACAAGTGGTGCTCGTTTGAAAGTTTTTGCAAGGAAAAACACCAGGATCCCACCTCTGTGTCTCTTCAATTCTTGGTCAAATTTCTCTGTATTTTGCCTGAAGGGCAAGCCTTGTGGCCCTCAACTCTGTCTTGGCAGCTCTGGAAGATCAAAAGATGACTAAGATTCCGGAACTTCAAGCTTTGCTACATTCCTTAGACCCTTCGACCCCCTTTGTGGGATCTGAAGGTGGTCCTTGCTGAGAGGCACGCGCTTTGAGCTAAATCACTCAGTGACTATAACCTCACCAAGAAGAGGGTCTTCCTCTTGGCTCTGGCTACAGCAGCGAACTACATGCTTTAGACATTACATGTGTCCATTTTGAGCACGGAGTGCAGCATGGAGCTGTTGATCTGGGGCTGAGCTGGGACTTCATAGCCAAGAGTCAACTCCCAGCACAGCCTCACTGATCCTTCCCATCAAGCTCTATCTTCGATAGTGGGGGTTGATGATGAACAGGAACTCCTGCTATGTCTGGTGCAGGCACTGTGATGCTTCATTCGATGCTTCAAGAATCGTTGTGGACAACATCAACACCTCTTCATCTCGGTAACAACAATATCAGCCAAAGTCAGCCACAATACAATTGCCCTATGGCTTCAAGCCATCATTCTTCAGGCCCATGAGGCCGCGGGACTGGATCCCCCGAGAGCCAGCAACCCGCACGAGATCTGGTTCTTGACATAAGTTTCATTTTACTTCTATGGCTGCATCGATACCTGGACTTCACACATACCTAACTTTATCCTTCCCTGTCAATAGGAATGGTCACTTGATGCTGGACATTGCTATTGCTGATTGGTTTGGAGAATTTCTGAAGATCATATCTGAAGGTATGCCGTCCACCATACTGTCTGATAAAGATGCTTTAAGGAGTAATGCAGGATAAATGAAAAAATCTAGTATAATCCTAGATATGTTTTCTATTTGTATACCTCTTCTGCATTACTGCATCTAACGTGACCCACCAGTTGCAGAGCTACCTCCCCATGATGTCTTCAGAAGCTCCATGGCATCATCCCTTCCATGGTCACATTGGAGCTGTGTGATAGGGTTAGCCACTCAGCTAGTTGGAACAACTTCTTCTTCAGCAAGACCTCACACAGCTCTTTCTTTCTGTCTAGAACAAGCAGTAAATGCATTAAGGAGGAATAAACAGGGTTATGCATTTTTGGAAAATGAGCTTAAATAAGTTTTAGAATTGTATTTTGGGGAAGAAATGACAGACAGATAGTAAACTTTGACAGAACTGAATGTGCATCATCGTGTTGTTGGATTTTTGTTTGTGCATGAATTAGTCACGTGACACCGCCCGCATGTCTCTTCTAAAGTTGTATTTGAGCAAGGTGATTTTATTGTCTGTTTTTTAATATTACCTCACAATAGACACTTGTGTTCATCATTTTTTTATAAATATTTCTCTCTTCTAACGAGCAAAAGTAATATGAGATGCGATCACCTGTGCGCTATAACAGGGAGTTGACAATAATTGGTCCTTGGCGATAACTGGTCACTAGCCGGTACATAAACATCCAAAACATGTTTGCCAGCAGCTATGCATAAACAAATCAATCAATCAATGGCAAGTTCTGCTAGGTCTTCTCACATCATCCCAAGCGGTCACGACAAGGGGTAGGCTATGACTTCGTCCTATCCAGGGGCTCCTAACTGTGTCAAGATTATAACCTTTTCAGAACACAAGAACCCTTCTAAGTAAGCTGGAATTGAATTTTATGCACACTGACAAAATCCATGAAATCTCTTGATTTACTCTCAAGTACGGAGGTGGTGCCCCACTGCAGACTGATATCCAAGAAGATTAAAAAGAAACAATGTTCTTTTTCTTATTGAACGGATCATAATCTGAATCAAGTATAAGATGGATCCCACCACCAACCGTGGGATTCAGGCAATTAGTATGAGTCAGGAAAAGGTAAAATATGTATTTTTGTAGGGTAGAAGTATCACTTATACTGATCATGACTCATACACTAAAGCGCCCTCCCAGCCATCCTCGCTTTCAGTATACATGTTTTGGCTGTTACGGGTAAGCCAAATGAGAGAGTGATGGGTGTACTGGCTTGGTCAGGTGCTTCCGGTGTGGCTGAGGGGTGTGTTCTGGTGAGATTTTGATCTCTGTTCTTGGGAACACAGCACAGGAGTTTCCTTTGCGGAATGAGATGAAATAAGCAATAAGTGTGAGTCGGGATAAGTATAAATGATATTTTCACCCTAAAAATACATTTTTTAACAGAATATTAATTTGCTCCTATCAATGTGAAATTTGATATTAAGGATGAAAATTATGGTATCCTTGGCATAAATGATTTTTTATTGATTGGTCGTCAAGACAGTCAACTGTCATCATGCTATCCCCATTTTCTACACTATGAAAGGTGTTGATAGAAAGTGATTATCCATTATCCTCGGGCTTATGTAGTATCAGTTCAACACAACAGCTAACCACTCCAACATATGTGTTTCCTCTGCTAGATCTATGCATGGGGCCAGAACAACTGTGGACAGGTGGGAACAGGGACCACAACCAACCAGCCCACCCCACGCAAGATCACAGCTGTCATAGGTACTCACTCACACCATGCTGCCACTTGTCTCCACTACACCCACATGCAAGACCATAGCCTCCATAGGTACTCACTCACACCACGCTGCCACTTGTCTCCACTACACCCACATGCAAGACCATAGCCTCCATAGGTACTCACTCACACCACGCTGCCACTTGTCTCCACTACACCCACATGCAAGACCATAGCCTCCATAGGTACTCACTCACACCACGCTGCCACTTGTCTCCACTACACCCACATGCAAGACCATAGCCTCCATAGGTACTCACTCACACCACGCTGCCACTTGTCTCCACTACACCCACATGCAAGACCATAGCCTCCTTAGGTACTCACTCACACCACGCTGCCACTTGTCTCCACTACACCCACATGCAAGACCATAGCCTCCATAGGTACTCACTCACACCACGCTGCCACTTGTCTCCACTACACCCACATGCAAGACCATAGCCTCCATAGGTACTCACTCACACCACACTGCCACTTGTCTCCACTACACCCACACACCTTCACTACTGTCTGTCATGTGTCTCACCTACACCCACACACCTTCACCACTGTCTGTCATGTGTCTAACCTACACCCACACACCTTCACATATGTGTGTCATGTGTCTCACCTACACCCACACACCTTCACTACTGTCTGTCATGTGTCTCACCTACACCCACACACCTTCACTACTGTCTGTCATGTGTCTAACCTACACCCACACACCTTCACATATGTGTGTCATGTGTCTCACCTACACCCACACACCTTCATTACTGTCTATCATGTGTCTTACCTACACCAATACACCTTCACTACTGTCTGTCATGTGTCTTACCTATACCCACACACCTTCACTAATGTGTGTCATGTGTCTCGACTATACCCACACACCTTCACTACTGTCTGTCATGTGTCTCACCTACACCTACTCACCTTCACTACTGTGTGTCATGTGTCTTACCTACACCTTCACACCTTCACTACGGTCTGTCATGTGTCTCACCTACACCCACACACCTTCACATATGTGTGTCATGTGTCTCACCTACACCCACACACTCTCACTACTGTCTTACATGTGTCTTACCTACACCCCAGACCTTCACTACTGTCTGTCATGTGTCTTACCTATACCCACACACCTTCACTACTGTCTGTCATGTGTCTTACCTATACCCACACACCTTCACTAATGTGTGTCATGTGTCTTACCTATACCCACACACCTTCACATATGTGTGTCATGTGTCTCACCTACACACCTTCACTACTGTCTGTCATGTGTCTTACCTATACCCACACACCTTCACTACTGTCTGTCATGTGTCTTACCTATACCCACACACCTTCACTACTGTCTATCATGTGTCTTACCTACACCCCAGACCTTCACTACTGTCTGTCATGTGTCTTACCTATACCCACACACCTTCACATATGTGTGTCATGTGTCTCACCTATACACCTTCACTACTGTATGTCATGTGTCTTACCTACACCTACACACCTTCACTACTGTATGTCATGTGTCTCACCTACACACCTTCACTAATGTCTGTCATGTGTCTTACCTACACCTACACACCTTCACTACTGTCTGTCATGTGTCTCACCTATACACCTTCACTACTGTCTGTCATGTGTCTCACCTACACCTTCACACCTTCACTACTGTCTGTTATGTGTCTCACCTATACACCTTCACTACTGTCTGTCATGTGTCTTACCTACACCTACTCACCTTCACTACTGTGTGTCATGTGTCTCACCTACACCCACACACCTTCACATATGTGTGTCATTTGTCTTACCTATACTCACACACCTTCACTAATTTGTGTCATGTGTCTTACCTACACACCTTCACTACTGTGTGTCATGTGTCTCACCTACACCCACACACCTTCACTACTGTGTGTCATGTGTCTCACCTATACACCTTCACTACTGTGTACCATGTGTCTTACCTACACCCACTCGCCATCACTACTGTGTGTCGTGTGTTTATGCCTACACCTACACATTAACTACTAACTTTGTTGACTGACAAAAAGGTGGAATGTGAAAAAAAGTAGACAGTTGTGTTATTCTGTTAAGGATAATTTACTCAAGAACATTGGGACTTTTTTATAAATCATTTTTCAAATCGCCATACTCAAAAATACTTGTAGAAAGAAAACTAAAATTTAATTCTTTTCATTTCTTGATAGGATCTGTCTGTAACAGTTGAATTCTTTCCTCTGTTTTCAGGCTGCCGGACAGTTGTAGCCATCTCATGTGGCCAGACATCTTCTATGGCTCTAATGGACAATGGCGAGGTAAACATCACTTTGTGTCTTGAAAGACATTTTTCATATAATACTTTATGAAAAGAGACAAGCTTTTCTTTTTGTGACTGTGTAGCAAGTGAACTCAGTCAGTGTTTAACAAGTCATCTTTGTCCTGTGTAGTTGGTTAGGCAGTGGACTGTAGCAAGTGAACTCAGTCAGTGTTTAACAAGTCATCTTTGTCCTGTGTAGTTGGTTAGGCAGTGGACTGTAGCAAGTGAACTCAGTCAGTGTTTAACAAGTCATCTTTGTCCTGTGTAGTTGGTTAGGCAGGTGACTGTAGCAAGTGAACACAGTCAGTGTTTAACAAGTCATCTTTGTCCTGTGTAGTTGGTTAGGCAGGTGACTGTAGCAAGTGAACACAGACAGTGTTTAACAAGTCATCTTTGTCCTGTGTAGTTGGTTAGGCAGGTGACTGTAGCAAGTGAACACAGTCAGTGTTTAACAAGTCATCTTTGTCCTGTGTAGTTGGTTAGGCAGGTGACTGTAGCAAGTGAACTCAGTCAGTGTTTAACAAGTCATCTTTGTCCTGTGTAGTTGGTTAGGCAGTGGACTGTAGCAAGTGAACTCAGTCAGTGTTTAACAAGTCATCTTTGTCCTGTGTAGTTGGTTAGGCAGGTGACTGTAGCAAGTGAACACAGTCAGTGTTTAACAAGTCATCTTTGTCCTGTGTAGTTGGTTAGGCAGGTGACTGTAGCAAGTGAACACAGACAGTGTTTAACAAGTCATCTTTGTCCTGTGTAGTTGGTTAGGCAGGTGACTGTAGCAAGTGAACTCAGTCAGTGTTTAACAAGTCATCTTTGTCCTGTGTAGTTGGTTAGGCAGGTGACTGTAGCAAGTGAACTCAGTCAGTGTTTAACAAGTCATCTTTGTCCTGTGTAGTTGGTTAGGCAGGTGACTGTAGCAAGTGAACTCAGTCAGTGTTTAACAAGTCATCTTTGTCCTGTGTAGTTGGTTAGGCAGGTGACTGTGTTAGTGAACTCAGTCAGTGTTTAACAAGTCATCTTTGTCCTGTGTAGTTGGTTAGGCAGTGGACTGTAGCAAGTGAACTCAGTCAGTGTTTAACAAGTCATCTTTGTCCTGTGTAGTTGGTTAGGCAGTGGACTGTAGCAAGTGAACTCAGTCAGTGTTTAACAAGTCATCTTTGTCCTGTGTAGTTGGTTAGGCAGGTGACTGTAGCAAGTGAACACAGTCAGTGTTTAACAAGTCATCTTTGTCCTGTGTAGTTGGTTAGGCAGGTGACTGTAGAAAGTGAACACAGACAGTGTTTAACAAGTCATCTTTGTCCTGTGTAGTTGGTTAGGCAGGTGACTGTAGCAAGTGAACACAGTCAGTGTTTAACAAGTCATCTTTGTCCTGTGTAGTTGGTTAGGCAGGTGACTGTAGCAAGTGAACTCAGTCAGTGTTTAACAAGTCATCTTTGTCCTGTGTAGTTGGTTAGGCAGTGGACTGTAGCAAGTGAACTCAGTCAGTGTTTAACAAGTCATCTTTGTCCTGTGTAATTGGTTAGGCAGGTGACTGTAGCAAGTGAACACAGTCAGTGTTTGACAAGTCATCTTTGTCCTGTGTAGTTGGTTAGGCAGGTGACTGTAGCAAGTGAACACAGACAGTGTTTAACAAGTCATCTTTGTCCTGTGTAGTTGGTTAGGCAGGTGACTGTAGCAAGTGAACACAGTCAGTGTTTAACAAGTCATCTTTGTCCTGTGTAGTTGGTTAGGCAGGTGACTGTAGCAAGTGAACTCAGTCAGTGTTTAACAAGTCATCTTTGTCCTGTGTAGTTGGTTAGGCAGGTGACTATAGCAAGTGAACTCAGTCAGTGTTTAACAAGTCATCTTTGTCCTGTGTAGTTGGTTAGGCAGGTGACTGTAGCAAGTGAACTCAGTCAGTGTTTAACAAGTCATCTTTGTCCTGTGTAGTTGGTTAGGCAGGTGACTGTAGCAAGTGAACTCAGTCAGTGTTTAACAAGTCATCTTTGTCCTGTGTAGTTGGTTAGGCAGGTGACTGTAGCAAGTGAACACAGTCAGTGTTTAACAAGTCATCTTTGTCCTGTGTAGTTGGTTAGGCAGGTGACTGTAGCAAGTGAACACAGTCAGTGTTTAACAAGTCATCTTTGTCCTGTGTAGTTGGTTAGGCAGGTGACTGTAGCAAGTGAACTCAGTCAGTGTTTAACAAGTCATCTTTGTCCTGTGTAGTTGGTTAGGCAGGTGACTGTAGCAAGTGAACACAGTCAGTGTTTAACAAGTCATCTTTGTCCTGTGTAGTTGGTTAGGCAGGTGACTGTAGCAAGTGAACTCAGTCAGTGTTTAACAAGTCATCTTTGTCCTGTGTAGTTGGTTAGGCAGGTGACTGTAGCAAGTGAACTCAGTCAGTGTTTAACAAGTCATCTTTGTCCTGTGTAGTTGGTTAGGCAGGTGACTGTAGCAAGTGAACACAGTCAGTGTTTAACAAGTCATCTTTGTCCTATGTAGTTGGTTAGGCAGGTGACTGTAGCAAGTGAACACAGTCAGTGTTTAACAAGTCATCTTTGTCCTATGTAGTTGGTTAGGCAGGTGACTGTAGCAAGTGAACTCAGTCAGTGTTTAACAAGTCATCTTTGTCCTATGTAGTTGGTTAGGCAGGTGACTGTGTTAGTGAACTCAGTCAGTGTTTAACAAGTCATCTTTGTCCTGTGTCGTTGGTTAGGCAGGTGACTGTGTTAGTGAACTCAGTCAGTGTTTAACAAGTCATCTTTGTCCTATGTAGTTGGTTAGGCAGGTGACTGTGTTAGTGAACTCAGTCAGTGTTTAACAAGTCATCTTTGTCCTATGTAGTTGGTTAGGCAGGTGACTGTGTTAGTGAACTCAATCAGTGTTTAACAAGTCATCTTTGTCCTGTGTAGTTGGTTAGGCAGGTGACTGTGTTAGTGAACTCAGTCAGTGTTTAACAAGTCATCTTTGTCCTATTATGTAGTTGGTTAGGCAGGTGACTGTGTTAGTGAACTCAGTCAGTGTTTAACAAGTCATCTTTGTCCTATGTAGTTGGTTAGGCAGGTGACTGTGTTAGTGAACACAGTCAGTGTTTAACAAGTCATCTTTGTCCTATGTAGTTGGTTAGGCAGGTGACTGTGTTAGTGAACTCAGTCAGTGTTTAACAAGTCATCTTTGTCCTATGTAGTTGGTTAGGCAGGTGACTGTGTTAGTGAACTCAGTCAGTGTTTAACAAGTCATCTTTGTCCTGTGTAGTTGGTTAGGCAGGTGACTGTAGCAAGTGAACTCAGTCAGTGTTTAACAAGTCATCTTTGTCCTGTGTAGTTGGTTAGGCAGGTGACTGTAGCAAGTGAACACAGTCAGTGTTTAACAAGTCATCTTTGTCCTATGTAGTTGGTTAGGCAGGTGACTGTAGCAAGTGAACACAGTCAGTGTTTAACAAGTCATCTTTGTCCTATGTAGTTGGTTAGGCAGGTGACTGTAGCAAGTGAACTCAGTCAGTGTTTAACAAGTCATCTTTGTCCTATGTAGTTGGTTAGGCAGGTGACTGTGTTAGTGAACTCAGTCAGTGTTTAACAAGTCATCTTTGTCCTGTGTCGTTGGTTAGGCAGGTGACTGTGTTAGTGAACTCAGTCAGTGTTTAACAAGTCATCTTTGTCCTATGTAGTTGGTTAGGCAGGTGACTGTGTTAGTGAACTCAGTCAGTGTTTAACAAGTCATCTTTGTCCTATGTAGTTGGTTAGGCAGGTGACTGTGTTAGTGAACTCAATCAGTGTTTAACAAGTCATCTTTGTCCTGTGTAGTTGGTTAGGCAGGTGACTGTGTTAGTGAACTCAGTCAGTGTTTAACAAGTCATCTTTGTCCTATTATGTAGTTGGTTAGGCAGGTGACTGTGTTAGTGAACTCAGTCAGTGTTTAACAAGTCATCTTTGTCCTATGTAGTTGGTTAGGCAGGTGACTGTGTTAGTGAACACAGTCAGTGTTTAACAAGTCATCTTTGTCCTATGTAGTTGGTTAGGCAGGTGACTGTGTTAGTGAACTCAGTCAGTGTTTAACAAGTCATCTTTGTCCTATGTAGTTGGTTAGGCAGGTGACTGTGTTAGTGAACTCAGTCAGTGTTTAACAAGTCATCTTTGTCCTGTGTAGTTGGTTAGGCAGGTGACTGTGTTAGTGAACTCAGTCAGTGTTTAACAAGTCATCTTTGTCCTGTGTAGTTGGTTAGGCAGGTGACTGTGTTAGTGAACTCAGTCAGTGTTTAACAAGTCATCTTTGTCCTGTGTAGTTGGTTAGGCAGGTGACTGTGTTAGTGAACTCAGTCAGTGTTTAACAAGTCATCTTTGTCCTATGTAGTTGGTTAGGCAGGTGACTGTGTTAGTGAACTCAGTCAGTGTTTAACAAGTCATCTTTGTCCTATGTAGTTGGTTAGGCAGGTGACTGTGTTAGTGAACTCAGTCAGTGTTTAACAAGTCATCTTTGTCCTGTGTAGTTGGTTAGGCAGGTGACTGTGATAGTGAACTCAGTCAGTGTTTAACAAGTCATCTTTGTCCTATGTAGTTGGTTAGGCAGGTGACTGTGTTAGTGAACTCAGTCAGTGTTTAACAAGTCATCTTTGTCCTATGTAGTTGGTTAGGCAGGTGACTGTGTTAGTGAACTCAGTCAGTGTTTAACAAGTCATCTTTGTCCTATGTAGTTGGTTAGGCAGGTGACTGTGTTAGTGAACTCAGTCAGTGTTTAACAAGTCATCTTTGTCCTGTGTAGTTGGTTAGGCAGGTGACTGTGTTAGTGAACTCAGTCAGTGTTTAACAAGTCATCTTTGTCCTGTGTAGTTGGTTAGGCAGGTGACTGTGTTAGTGAACTCAGTCAGTGTTTAACAAGTCATCTTTGTCCTATGTAGTTGGTTAGGCAGGTGACTGTGTTAGTGAACACAGTCAGTGTTTAACAAGTCATCTTTGTCCTATGTAGTTGGTTAGGCATGTGACTGTGTTAGTGAACTCAGTCAGTGTTTAACAAGTCATCTTTGTCCTG